GGGGCGTTCAGGACGCCAGCAGGGCCGCGGGACCCCTTTTTGTGCTGAGCCCAGAAGCTGTGAGCACTGAAACTCAGTACTTCGGCGCGGGCACCCGGCTGTCGGTGCTAGGTGAGCGGGGACGCTGCCGCCGGGGACGGGGCGGGACGCGCGGCGGGTTTTTGCGCGGCGCTGGGGGGCCGTGACTCTCCCCCGGTTTTCGGGCCGGGCACGCGGCTCCTGGTGCTAGGTGAGCTCGGGCGGCGCGCCTCGGTTTCGGTGGGGAGCCCCGGGGCTGTGCTTTACAGGCGCCGCCCTGCCCTTCGGGGCCGGCAGCCGGCTGACCGTGGTGGGTGAGTGTCCGCGGGCCCGGCAGCGGCGGCGGGGCGAGATGGAAGGCGGCGAGCGCGGGGCGGGGCGGCCGCGGGCACCTGGTCCCCTCGCAGCACTGAAGCGGGGCGCTGGGACCCGGGAGCGGCCTGGAGCTGCGGGGGTTTGAGTGCGGGGCTTCTCACTGTGCTCCTATGAGCAGTATTTTGGCCCAGGCACCAGGCTCACGGTCATAGGTAAGATTTGGATGCCTCCCCTCCTTCCAGCCCGGCTCCTGGGGGGTCCCCAGAGATGGGTGCTGCGGGCTGGAGCTGGGGCGCGTGTCCATTTGTCCATCTGGGGGTCAACTCTGCAAGGGAGGTGGGGAATATTGGGTGCGGAGGGTTTTGGGTAGGGATAATCCCGGGACGGGAATTTGGACAGAGGGAAAGGGGGGCTTTGGTCTCTTTGTTTCTGAGATATTTAGGGACAGGGTGAGCATTGGAGAAAGAGGATTTACTGGGACTCTGAGAGCTGCTTGATTGGAGAAAAAGACCGAGGAGGGCAGTCTGGGCTGGGGGAAGGGCAGGAGGGTGTAGCTGATGCAAAGGGGAGAATGAGCCCGAGGGGCAGAAACAAGCAGGGATGAGCGCAGGATGCGGCCCCCTGCACAGCCGGCTCCTGGGAGGTGCAGATGGAGGCTTCCACTGAACACAGGAGAAAAAGGATGACAAACAAGAGTGTGGAACAGAGAGTGAGAGAGAGAAACACGAGGCATGAGGGAGAGAAAATCAGCGGGGTTTGTTGATTTACTGTTTAGAAGTTTAGATTTGAAATTAGCTTTAAAACCTCTTCCTCTCTTCCTAAGCCCCAGACCCCTGAGGGCCAGGCTGTGTGTACAGCACACGGGGGCTAGATGGGAACCTGGGCCACTGGGTGGATTTACTCACCAAACGTACCCCCCTCATCCCCTAGCCGGAAATCTCCCTCCTCACACCATGTCTTCTAGGTTAAACAGCCAGGTGGGGCAGGACATACATGAAAATGCAGATACTTTGCTTGTGAGCTGAGGAACATTCCCTGGAGGATCTTAGGCTCTTTGTGCTGGAAAAGGACCTTAAAGGTCACCTGCTGTGGGAGTATTGAGCTTCCAGAGGGGAAGAAACCCTCAATACCAGTATATTTACCTGGATGATTTGACAACAGCAAGGGTGCTTGCAGTTAGGCGAATTAAGATGGAGCCAATGAGGATCAGCTGAAGTGTTTGTTCCCAGAGGAAAGCTGGGTTTCTGTAATCAGCCAGGGTGGAGAAAAGCAGGAGACCTCAGAACCAGGTAAATCTGGGTCCCAAGCCCTGGCCCCTTAATGATCCAGTACCTCGGAAAAATGAATCTGTGTGCACAGGTCACACACCCAAGAAGCCAGCCCGCTAGTCAGGTCACATCCAGGGAAATGTGAAGAGTCGGTTAGAAGAACATTTTCTCCATCTTCCAGCCTAAACTAGATCTCTTTAGAGTGAGTTGTCTTCCTTTTAACAGAATTGCTCAGAAACAAACAAAACAATCGATAAAAAGCAAAGAGCAGAATAACATGATTGTAGGAGGGCCGAGAAGCAGTGAGCCAGCCAGATGGAAAGGCCGCAGGGGCATTAACTGGACCGCCTTCACCTGGAGCCCTCGAGGACGCCACGCACCAGGGGCTTAGTTGTAGCAAGACAGCTGAGAGCAGAAGTTGCTCTGATGATCTCATGCCTATTGAGGAAGCTTGCTGGTAGGGTAAAGTAGAATACGTGGCATCAAAGGGACAAAGAAGGTTGAAGATGCCTGCATTTGAAACACAGGGGGATGGCTATCTGCCTGAGCTGAGGAAACTCGGGGGTACCTGGAGGCAGAGGAATGGCTAGGATGACCCGCTGAAGCAGCAGAAAGAAAGAAAACCTCCCATTCTCATGAGCGCACCCTAATACAAAAGGCTGTCCTCACGTGGTGCCCCCCAATATGCCATCTGTATACTGTCATCTGAAGAAAACCCCCCACCCCCAAATGACCCCCTTAGCCCCAAATCCCCTTTACTCCTCGACCCCTGAGACTCACATACAAGTAACCCAGCTAAGGGCAGGGGCTTTCTGAACCCTTGTATCATTTCATCTCCACCCCCGCGCTGGACAGTCGGTGTTGGGATTCTCCCTTCACAGGCAGGAAAAATGATGCAGAGACAATGAGAGACTGTCTAAAGTCATGTTGGTGGGCAGAGTCAGTTCCAAGCTTTGGATTCCGTTCTTCTGCCTCCAATCCACTGCTCTATTTAAATAACTACTACATATTATGGGGAGAAAAAGACAGGTAAGCTTTTCTTGATGGATAAGAAATCAAATAAGGGGAAAGAAGAGACATTACGCAGAATGTCGGGCAGTGCCATTTGTAAGGCCACCTTAGGGGCTGGGGACACAGGAGACAGGGCTGTCGTAGGGTCAATACAAAGGCCAGGCAGGCCGAGGGAGAACAGTCACAGAGGAGCGGGCGGTGACCCCCAAACAAACAACCAGGACCTACTACCACGTAATTTCCTTTTACGATGACCCCGTGGCCCCCTTCCCTGTGCCCCCAACTCACACGCACAGCCGGCCCTCCGGGCACCCATGCTCCCAACCCCCTCTCCCTTCCAGACGACCTGAGCAAGGTGACCCCACCCAAGGTGGCTGTGTTCGAGCCGTCAGCAGCAGAGATCTCCCGGACCCAGAAGGCCACGCTCGTGTGCCTGGCCACGGGCTTCTACCCCGACCACGTGGAGCTGAGCTGGTGGGTGAACGGGAAGCAGGTCGAGACAGGGGTCAGCACGGACCCTCAGCCCCACAAGGAGGACCCCAGCCGCAACGACTCCAGCTACTGTCTGAGCAGCCGGCTGAGGGTCTCCGCCAGCTTCTGGTACAACCCTCGCAACCTCTTCCGCTGCCAAGCCTGGTTCCACGGGGTCTCGGACGAGGACGAGTGGAAGCAGGACAGGCCCAAACCCGTCACCCAGAACATCAGTGCCGAGGTCCGGGGCCGAGCAGGTGAGCCGCTCCGGGAGGGTTCGGCAGGGAGGGAGGCAGAGCAGACAGAGGGGGAGGTCCAGGGAGGAGAGCAGAGAGACTAGATGCAGAATAAAGGGGAGGGTGTGGGAAGCCCACCGTGAGGGAGGACAGGGCACCTCGGGCTACTTCCTCCCCCACATCCCAGATGGTCAGCCCAACTCAGCTGTGCTGAAAGGTCCCCCTCCCTACGCGCCTGCACAGCTCAGGGTCTGAGCAGTGGGTCCTCATCCCCTTCACTGCTGCCATGTTCCATGACCTTCGAGGATGCTGTGGCCACATCGCCAAAACAGAAAGAAGGCGCTGCTGGGACTCTGACCAGAGGCTGCCCTGAGCCTGGGAGTCTGTGCTGACTACAAGTCTGGCTTAGTTTTTTGTTTTTCTTGGTTCTTTTGGAAGCAGCTCAAAATCCCACACATTTGTTATTGTAGAGTTTTGATGGGTCAGGAATGTGCGCATAACTGAGCTGGCTCGTCTTCCTCAGGAGGCTGCAATCGGGTGTCAGCCAAAGCTGGAGTCTTCTCTGAAGGCTCAACTGGGGAAGGAGCCACTTCCAAGCTCACGTGGTTGTTGGCAAGAGTTAGCACCTTGCCAGCTGTTGGGCTGAGGAAGGCTGGCTTAGTTTTGAATCTGCTTTTGAAGCTGGACTCTCTCATCCATTTCCCTCCCCCTTTTTTCTTTCAGACTGTGGCCTCACCTCGGGTAAGTGGCCCCCTGCTCCTTTGTCTCCATCTCCCATGGTCTTTGCTCTGGAACCAGAGAATGCAAACCCCATGAACCCTGGTGGGGCATGGAAGGGTGGGTGGTGCGTGGGCAAGGAGACCAGAGATCCCTGCTCACAGGTACCTACCTGCTCTCCCTTCCTGCCAACAGCGTCCTACCAGCAAGGGGTCCTGTCTGCCACCATCCTCTATGAGATCCTGCTGGGGAAGGCCACCCTGTATGCTGTGCTGGTCAGCGCCCTGGTGCTGATGGCCATGGTAAGGACGAGGGCAGGATGGGGCCGGCTGGTTGGAGGTGACACTTGAAACACAGCAACTGACACCCAAGAACACAGAGACCCTGCCGGGACCAGAATGGGCAGAGAGGAAAGGGGGGAGTCACCCACATGCCTCAGAAGACACTTATGTCTGGGATCACAATGCAAGTACCATGCTGTGAAGGAGAAACTGGGGTCACCTGAAAACATGATGGATGTTAGGGGAACCCTGCTATTTGTCTTGTCAGTGGGAAACCCTACGTCCTCTCAGTCCCCAGCACTGCTGGCTCCTGGTAACCCCCAAACTTTCTCTTCTTCAGGTCAAGAGAAAGGATTCCTGAAGCCAGCTTAGAGGTGGAGCCAGGAGCTTCCAGCCTGTTATGGCCCTGATGTGAATTCTGCTTTTTCCATTCCTACCCAGTGCTTCAGAAGAGCTGCTCTCATCTCTCTACGCACCCCAGTATCTACCCCTGTGTGCATGCCCCCCAAACACTCATGACCAAAATCTCCCTAGCCCAAGGGGGACCCTGGCGGGCCTGAACGGATTCAACCAATAAAAATGGCCTGATCTGGCTTGAGTCTGCCTTGTGAGTGCCTAGATATCTCCTCCGTCCATCTCTGAAGTCCCATGTGACTCCAGCCAGGGTGGAAACAAGAGGCATTCAAGAAAGTGCAGGCCCCTCAGGTAGGAGGGTCAAGGGACCCAGCCTGTGGGTGGTACTACTCCACACTGCCGGCAAAACTCAAGTACACGTGAAAGGGTGTGATTGGTGAAGAGAGAGGCTTACTCTGGAACAACCTAGAAAAAGGTGTGATGCTGTCTATAGGAAATTTCTGTCCTACCTGGACAAAGGTGCTCTGAGGAAGAGCTGTGTCCACTTGTGAGTGGTCATGTCCCCACGGCCACCAAGCTGGGTGTCATGTGCGTCACCCACGCTCTCTCCACTGTCTCCCTGAGGGCGCTACTCAGCTTTCTCCATCACCAAGGAGTGATTCCAGGTGAGAAGAAGAGAAATTACTATCTATTCTCATTATCAGATGTACCTTCCAGTTTAAGTTACGAAGCTGGATATAAATTTCACTCTAGTGAATTAAATGTGTGTGAATATGGCCCTGATCAGTCCTGAGAGGATACAAAATCAGTTTCCCTAAAACCAAGGATCAGCCCTGTTGGTATTTCTAGAAATCCTTCCAAAGCTCTTTACTGTCTCATTGTCACCATGGTGATGTAACCCAAAGTCCGCAGGATGGCATAAAAGACCCACCTTTGTCCTCCACCACTTTATCCACACTCACCCTCACTCCCGTCACCCTGAACCCCCGAGTCACTGGCGCTCAGGCCATCTTGCACTCCTCTACCTGGAATGACTCATGTGCGCTCCCACCCATCCTTGCGGATTCAGCGGTGACGTCTTCCCCAGCAAGTAGCCGCCTCTGGAGGATCTTTGCCCCTTACTCCATGCAAATGGATGAAATTCTCCCTGCATTTTGCTATCACAGTACCCTGTGTGCATCTCCTTCCTGCCACTGACCACAGTTGATGGAAACTACCTCTTTCCTTGTCTGGCACCCCCACTAGAAGGTCAGCTCCTTGAGGACCAGGTTGTGTGGTATTACAGTATCCTTGCGATGTGGCACAGTACCTTGGTTCAGTGTACTAACCCAATAAATTCTCTTTAAAGAAATGAATGAATCAATGAGTTTGCCCAAAGTGACCCAATTCAGGAGCAGATACCACCTAAGGGCTGCCTGGAACAGCCATCTGTTCCCGCCCCCCACAGGCCTGCAGCACACAGCCTCCTCCCACTACTGGAACTCTGCGTGCATTCTAACATGGGTGTCTGCACCTATACCAACACACATGCACAAACACGTATGTCTACATGTATGCATGAGCAGAGGCACCTACTCGTTAAGCACATATCATTGCAACATTTGCTAGTAACCTTCAAGAAAACAAAGATATCCAGGTCACAGTCCCCAAGAAGCTTCCCTGCTCATAGGGGGATAATTCATGAATAGAAAGTTAACACACACGGTGATGCTTGCAATAGCAAGGTGATCTGTCTCCGACAATGCAGGCAGAGGCTAGCAAGAGGTTTCTGACGGGGACCATCAGGGGAGAGTCTGAGACGGTGGCAGTTCTTCGAAGGAAGAACCGGTCTCAGTTAGCCATGTGGGAGAGAGGTCATGATAGTCGGATATATGAACAGGATATGAAACTACAGGGTCAGGTACTTCTGCTCAGCGGGTCTGCGAGGTCCAAGATGGAAGTCACAAGGCTGAAAAGGCAGGTTGGGGCTTCCCGCTTTGAGAGTGGACTCTGTCCTTGCAACCAGCGTGAGGCCTGGCATATAGTAGATGTGCATTTCGTGTCTGTGGACTAATGAAGGGAAAGGAGCTCGGACCCTATTCAGGAAGCAATGGGGAATCGCAGAGCTTTCCAGGCTGTGTGTCCTCCTGCCCTGAGTTGCCATCCCCTGCTCTAGGGATGCTCCTCCCACGTGCCTCACTATAAATGCCAGTCTGTGCAGGTGGGCACAGTGAGTCCCAGAGGGGAGCCCTGATGACATAGGAGATGTCCTCAGGGTGGCGTAGGTTCCAGGAGGGGCCTCTCTGTCCCCTTCCCCCTCCACTAGCACCCTAACATTCCCCAAGGCCCTCCCCACTTTCGATTACTCAGGTTTTTTCCCACCCCACTCAATCAGACCAAGCTCTGCCACCTGCACTTCCTGCCTCCGCACAGTCATTAGGGGAGGGGGACAATAGGAGAGGACATTTTTGTTTCATAGTGTAACATTGTGGGGACTTCGGGGGGGCACGATGATTCAGTTAGAGGAAGGGCTTTTACAAAAAGCCCAGCCTCAGAAAATAGCTCCACCTGCCCGGGTGGGGCTCCTGCATGGGGAGAGTAGCTGGGAGAGATCTCCTGAGCAGGTCCCTGATGTGATCTCGCAGGGATCCGGACTCCGTGATCACCTCTGCCCCTCCCTGCTCCACACTCAGCTTCCAGGAAAGCGAAGAATCAAGCCACAAAGTGGAGTCATGATTCTGTGCTTTTCACAAACCTTGCCTTTTGACAAAGTACTTGCAGGTGTGTAATTTGTTAAGCACTCGCAACAACGCTGTGGGGAAGATATGACCCCATTTTTCAGTTGCAGAAACGAAGGCCAGGGAGGTTGCAGGTCACGGAAGTAGTAAGAGGCGGGGTCTAGCCTGGAACACTTCCCAGTCCAGCAAAATCTCCATCACAAATACCCCTTCCAATTTCACAACCACTGTAAATCCCCAAGCCAAGCTCATTGTCTGCAAATTGGGGATGACCTCAGGCAGGGCCCAGATTTCTGTGTCCAGCTAGTTCTGAAGAGAGGTGGGAAGAGAGAAGCCAGGGAGAAGGAGGGTGGTCCCAGTCTGTGCCAGGGGAGGAGCGGAAGAAGGAGGAATTCTTGGTAGCCCCTTCCCACTGTGCTCCTACAATGAGCTGCACTTCGGGCCAGGGACCAGGCTCACTGTGCTAAGTAAGAAGGTTGCTCCAGGGGGGAGGGAGGATGGGCTGCCCAGCCTGGATGACCTCCTGAATCCTGGCTTTTGGGGAGTGGACGCTGGACCCTCCTGGGCTGCTCTCAGGGAAGGCTAAGTTTGTGCCTGAGTTCCCAGGGCTGTGTGAACACCGAGCTGTATTTTGGCAATGGTTCCAAGCTGACTGTGCTGGGTAAGGAGGGCAGCTGGGGTCCCTGAGCGCTCGTTCGGGCGGGCTGGAGAGAGGTGGGCTGCTGCCCATCTCCATTTGGGGCTGTGCTCGGGGTCGGTGGGGACCTGGGCTGAGTTTGGGACATCAGGAGAGCGCAGCGGCGGTTTTTGTCCTGGGCCTCAGGGCTGTGAGCAACGACCCTCTGTTCTTCGGCGGGGGCACCCGGCTGACTGTGCTAGGTGAGCGGGGTGCCCTGGGGCGTTAGGAGCGGAAAGGGGCGTTCAGGACGCCAGCAGGGCCGCGGGACCCCTTTTTGTGCTGAGCCCAGAAGCTGTGAGCACTGAAACTCAGTACTTCGGCGCGGGCACCCGGCTGTCGGTGCTAGGTGAGCGGGGACGCTGCCGCCGGGGACGGGGCGGGACGCGCGGCGGGTTTTTGCGCGGCGCTGGGGGGCCGTGACTCTCCCCCGGTTTTCGGGCCGGGCACGCGGCTCCTGGTGCTAGGTGAGCTCGGGCGGCGCGCCTCGGTTTCGGTGGGGAGCCCCGGGGCTGTGCTTTACAGGCGCCGCCCTGCCCTTCGGGGCCGGCAGCCGGCTGACCGTGGTGGGTGAGTGTCCGCGGGCCCGGCAGCGGCGGCGGGGCGAGATGGAAGGCGGCGAGCGCGGGGCGGGGCGGCCGCGGGCACCTGGTCCCCTCGCAGCACTGAAGCGGGGCGCTGGGACCCGGGAGCGGCCTGGAGCTGCGGGGGTTTGAGTGCGGGGCTTCTCACTGTGCTCCTATGAGCAGTATTTTGGCCCAGGCACCAGGCTCACGGTCATAGGTAAGATTTGGATGCCTCCCCTCCTTCCAGCCCGGCTCCTGGGGGGTCCCCAGAGATGGGTGCTGCGGGCTGGAGCTGGGGCGCGTGTCCATTTGTCCATCTGGGGGTCAACTCTGCAAGGGAGGTGGGGAATATTGGGTGCGGAGGGTTTTGGGTAGGGATAATCCCGGGACGGGAATTTGGACAGAGGGAAAGGGGGGCTTTGGTCTCTTTGTTTCTGAGATATTTAGGGACAGGGTGAGCATTGGAGAAAGAGGATTTACTGGGACTCTGAGAGCTGCTTGATTGGAGAAAAAGACCGAGGAGGGCAGTCTGGGCTGGGGGAAGGGCAGGAGGGTGTAGCTGATGCAAAGGGGAGAATGAGCCCGAGGGGCAGAAACAAGCAGGGATGAGCGCAGGATGCGGCCCCCTGCACAGCCGGCTCCTGGGAGGTGCAGATGGAGGCTTCCACTGAACACAGGAGAAAAAGGATGACAAACAAGAGTGTGGAACAGAGAGTGAGAGAGAGAAACACGAGGCATGAGGGAGAGAAAATCAGCGGGGTTTGTTGATTTACTGTTTAGAAGTTTAGATTTGAAATTAGCTTTAAAACCTCTTCCTCTCTTCCTAAGCCCCAGACCCCTGAGGGCCAGGCTGTGTGTACAGCACACGGGGGCTAGATGGGAACCTGGGCCACTGGGTGGATTTACTCACCAAACGTACCCCCCTCATCCCCTAGCCGGAAATCTCCCTCCTCACACCATGTCTTCTAGGTTAAACAGCCAGGTGGGGCAGGACATACAT